GGCCTTCGACAGCCCCTGTCCTCTAGCCACTGTTTTGTCAACCCGATCTTCTCTTTGAATTTCTGAAGATTGGCAGTGGTTTATTTCCTTTAAAATCTCAAGCAACAGAGTAGATCCCGGTGATACGTTATGTTGTTAAAAAATAATTTAAAAAAAGTTAGTCCAATTGAGGGCGTAGTTTATTTAATATGGCAGGCCACATTCACATTTTTTAAACTCTCAAGTATTTATAGTTCTTCTTCAGTTTTTTTGTGAAACTTGTATGATTAAAAATACTCTGTAACAGTTAAGTATTTATACTTTATCAAAATGCATTGACATATTGGTAATTATTAGTGAACGTATCATTTGCTAATAAGTTTTGTAGAGACGAAAATGGCGTATCATGGCCTTGTGACATCACTTCTCGAGGTAAACAATCGATGGTTACAAGCGGCTAAACATCTAGATGTGTATAAGAGACAGATATTTATGGGAAAGCCCCAACATTTCACGATAATTCATAAAGTAAAATCAACGATCCACTCCACGTACGAGTTAAAAATACGTAACAGTCTGCTAGCTCAAACAAAGGTAGGAGGTCCGTAATTGGGCCGAATTTCCGTAGTAACTACGGACGTTCCGTAGTACTTGAGAACCCTGCACTTTCGATTCCACTCAGTGCATATGACTTTGCGGTGAATTTCAATGACGTCATCTTTGTCTCAGCGTATCAGCGTCTCAGTGTATCAGCGTCTCAGTGTATCAGTGTATCAGCGTTTATAAGACAACAGACCAATTCATCCTTCGCGAGTGGGGTGCAGGTCAATCTACTCCACTTTCAGCAGAAAATTGTAAACTTAGGTGACATCATTGCCGTCTACTCAACAGGGCTCACTGATTGGTTTGTTGAGCAGAGACGTCTCTATAACCATTGAGGTATTATTGAGAAGGAGATCACTCGGCAAACAGATCCATTTGACTGTGTTCCCCTCTTTTGGATCGCGCGCGGGCGTATTATAATATAATTCACATTTTTTCGTTAGCAACAACTTGGCAACGACATGCATTTATACGCTTCCAGCAGAGCAGTTGTGCAATAAAACTTTTGATTTTAAGCCATTAAAAATCTTTATAATGAACAATGTCCCCCTGATTAGATTTTTTCGGGCTTTTGGTATGTTATTACTTGTATATTTCAGGAACGGATTCCGTAAAATATTTGTGTTAAAATTACTTCTGTGTTCATTATAATTTTGTCTAAAATTGACTGGTTCGACTATAAAGCTAAGTCAGCGTAAAACTGAAAAATACTCAGATGTTGGATTCATTTTTTCGAATAGTTAACCCTCGTTAACCCTAAAATGAATTATTTTATTATAATCCTTAATCATTTATTAATTAATATCTGTTAAAATTAGAATTGGCGAATTTTGGCCAATTTATGAAAATTGAAGTTGAAATATACTATGCTTTTATAGGTCATGTAAATGTTCCATTAAATTCGAAACTTTTCTTGGAGGAAAATATTAATATATTTGATATTTTATGAGAGATAAATGTATCAGCTTCAAAATAGAAAAGATTGCGCAGCCATAGTTATTGACAGTATGTAGTGCGCATTGAGAAAATAAGGTGCTCTCCATTTCGTCATGTTCAATTTTTTGGTCAACTATGCCTGCTGAAAAATGGATGGCGGGGAACACATGGGACTTCAAAGGCATCGCGCAAACGTTCTTTACGCAACTTTGATCTTGGTTCATTTGCATAGCGCTGCGTGCGTGTGGCTTTGCCGAGTGATCTCCTTCTCAATAATACCTCCATGCTATAACTCTGCTCAATTATTGGTCTGTTGGACAGCGGCTCTGCTCAACAGGGCTCAATCATTGGTAGGTTGAACAAAGTTATTGTACATGTCTGGGTTTTTCTCTGGGCCGGGTGCTGTAGACTTAATTCATTTATTTCTTTTTCTAGAAATTGATTTTACCAATAGTAGCGCATCCATAGCTCTTATAATATTTTCCTAATGCAGGCGTCACTTTGAAGCCTGGACCCACCCTCCTCAGAGGTCGCCAACTATCGACGTCGAAGCCTAAGGTCAATAAATTTGCTGTTGTAGTGAAGTCCTAACGTTCTTTTTTTTATCTTGATTGAGTGAAGCTTTACCTATAAATTTGATGAAAGATAAAACTTTGACGAATAATGTGTGTTTTCTGGTGATGGGAGATCGAATGCATAGCTATTAAAGTTCATGAATGGTGTGAAGCTTTGACGAGTAATTTGTGTTTTATGGTGATGTGACATCGAATCCACTATTATTATACATTATTATATTATTATAATATTAATAGTGATAATAATAATAATATTAGTAATAATAATAATAATAATAATTAATAATAATAATAATAAATAATAAATAATAATAATAATAATAATAATAATAATATTATTATTATTATACATTAAGCAATAATAATATTATTATTATTATTATTATTATTATTATTTATTATTTATTATTATTATTATTATTAATTATTATTATTATTACTAATATTATAATAATATAATAATGTATAATATTAGTGGATTCGATGTCACATCACCATAAAAAACAAATTACTCGTCAAAGCTTCACACCATTCATGAACTTTAATAGCTATGCATTCGATCTCCCATCACCAGAAAACACACATTATTCGTCAAAGTTTCATCTTTCATCAAATTTATAGGTAAAGATTCACTGAATCAAGATAAAAAAAATATGGAACGCCAAAAGGGCAACCTTGAACACTTCAACGATTATACAAACAGTACCAACGAATACACAGGCACTCCAATGAATGTACAAGCACTCCAATGAATATTGAAACACTCCAACGAATATAGAAACACTCCAACGAATATAGAAACACTCCAAGGAATATAAAAACACTTCAACGAATGTACAAGCACTAACGAATATAGAAACACTCCAACGAATGTACAAGCACTAACGAATATAGAAACACTCCAACGAATATAGAAACACTCCAATGAATGTACAAGCACTAACGAATATAGAAACACTCCAACGAATGTACAAGTACTCCAATGAATGTACAAGCACTAACGAATATAGAAACACTCCAATGAATGTACAAGTACTCCAACGAATATGCAATTAATTGAACACAATGCCCAGTACAGTGACAACGTTAGGTTATATCTTGGTGTTTTTTTTTTGGTGAGATCGTGATGCCTGCCAAATTTTATAAATACCGTGCATCAGGTAGGCTATCCTAATTAATAGTCCATGGTCTTGGGCTATTACTCTGTACCTCAAGGACGCTGGTTAACATAACATGAAGGTCTCAAGTTTCAGACCACAGGCATTTATTTGGAGCATGGAGGTATTTTTATATCCCTTTTAATTTACTATTTTACTGAAGCTTGTGAAATTACTCCACATTAGATGTTTTGATCACTTCCTATTAATGAAATTATCCTGTTGAAGAAACCAAGTAGGCCCTATTGCATGTAAGTTATATTTTCAATATACGTATACATTTTCTTGTCCGGGTAAATTTACTATAATTTTTGCTTATGAAAGCTAGGATCAGTGTAGAGTGTTTTTATTGATAATGTCCGTCTTAGTAAAAACTCTGAAATCTTACAGTTACTTTAATTATTGATAAGGTGTATATAAAAACAACATGATAAAATCATTAGCACACAGGTAGCCTATATCTGATTAGTTAATAGGCATATGAAATTTTATGTTTATACAACAGATGATATTGTTCTAGCTATAGATTCAGCTTTCTATTCGTCTAGAATCAATTATGTTGTAAACTTGGCGTGTTATTTGCAGTTTGAACTGATGATGACGGATGAATCAACACATGTACAAGTGTAGTGTATTTGGCCGCGGTAAATCATGGACAGACAAACTTTGGAAGAATTTGTCAATATGGGATACAAGAATTCGGAAATTGCAGAAAAAATGGGGATAAGCGTTAGAAGTGTGAAAAATATGCGTCGGGAATTTCATTTGAGAAAAAAAGATTTATCTAGTAAAATCAGTGGTAAGTACTGCATATTAAAATTGTTATTCTGGAAAATTTTTTGTTTACCGCAGTGTAGGCCTACATGCATTACTATCATACTATATACTGGACCCTTCGAAAAAAATAATATAAAAAGAAAAAATACAGAATTGAAACATTAAAATGTTTTTTCCACAAATGACTATAAGCCTTCTTTTTATATTTTCCCCAAAGATTAGACAATAAAAAATGTTGTTGCTTGGTTTTCCAAAATAATTTATCATCAATTTACTAATTAATTGATTAATTTGGCTTACAAGTTGGTAGTTTTTTTTTTCTTAGATGCATCTCTCGATGAATCGATTCTTAAGATTGTTACCCGTAATCCAGAATATGGCGAAAAAATTATAGCAGGAAACCTGAATTTTGAGGGAGTACATGCGACACGTGCAAGAATTAGGGAGTCTATGCATAGAGTTGACCCTGAAGGTATATCAGGAGTAAATAATAAAGTAACAGTATTTAGATGCAAATGTACATATTGTGTTAAAATGTGTAAATATATTATAAATACAACTTAAAATTGTTATCTTAATTGATTTCTTAATTGTTGCTTTTACGGAATTACTGTGTAGAATATACCGTACTCATCCAAGGAGAGATTATCAACGTAGCATAACCTACTGATAATGATGAAGGTGATGATGATGATGATGATGATGATGATGATGGTGAGGTAGCAGTAATAGCACAGTACTGATACACAGTACTAATAATACATATAGAGTTGTAATGTAATTTATTTGCTTTTAATATTTCAAAGGTGTCGAAAGACGAAAAACCAAAACAATGCACGGTATTTATAAAATTTGGCAGGCATCACGATCTCACCAAAAAAACAAACACCAAGATATAACCTAACGTTGTCACTGTACTGGGCATTGTGTTCAATTAATTGCATATTCGTTGGAGTACTTGTACATTCATGGGAGTGTTTCTATATTCGTTAGTGCTTGTACATTCATTGGAGTGCTTGTACATTCGTTGGAGTGTTTCTATATTCGTTAGTGCTTGTACATTCATTGGAGTGTTTCTATATTCGTTGGAGTGTTTCTATATTCGTTAGTGCTTGTACATTCGTTGGGTGTTTCTATATTCGTTGGAGTGTTTCAATATTCATTGGAGTGCTTGTACATCTGTCTCTTATACACATCTAGATGTGTATAAGAGACAGATTGTTTAATGTTTTCTTCACACAATCATATTTATGGGCTAAACATTTTACAGTAGTTGTTTTCAGTGATAAAATAAAAATGAAATACGTTTTTTAACGGATCAGCGGACAAAAAACGTACCGGTAGCTAAGAAAGCTGCTTTTGCCTTGCCTTCATGCTCAAATCTCGAAGCAAAGGCCGTTGTGTAGCGGTCTCAACGTTTGTATAATACACTGAACTTTTCGTGTCGCGCGGGTTTGTTCTTGCCTAGTCTTTCCTTGATTGCTTGCGGACAGAGGTATTTCGTGTCGAGAGAGTTGTTCCAGTTTAGTTTTTTCTTGATTGCTTGTCGTCGGATACTACTACTACATTTAAAACATATTTTAAGAGGAATTCTTTTGTCGTGAAAAGATATTTATATCTGTCATTAAAGATCCTAGTTAATCGTTTTTCATATTATTAATTTATTTACATATATTCTTGTTATAATAATGTTTATTATCAATATTGTTTAACATTTACGGAAATAAATGTTGTTTAATGAATGAATAATTATTCAAATCCACTTTACAACAACAACTAGGCATCAGTTATTTTTAATGGTGTCTACCACATATTTCTTCGTTATGTTAACCAGCGTCCTTGAGGTACAGAGTAGTAGCCCAAGACCATGGACTATTAATTAGGAAAGCCTACCTGATGCACGGTATTTATAAAATTTGGCAGGCATCACGATCTCACCAAAAAAAAACCCACCAAGATATAACCTAACGTTGTCACTGTACTGGGCATTGTGTTCAATTAATTGCATATTCGTTGGAGTACTTGTACATTCATTGGAGTGTTTCTATATTCGTTAGTGCTTGTACATTCATTGGAGTGCTTGTACATTCGTTGGAGTGTTTCTATATTCGTTAGTGCTTGTATATTCATTGGAGTGCTTGTACATTCGTTGGAGTGTTTCTATATTCGTTAGTGCTTGTACATTCATTGGAGTGTTTCTATATTCGTTGGAGTGTTTCTATATTCGTTAGTGTTTGTACATTCGTTGGAGTGTTTCTATATTCCTTAGTGCTTGTACATTCGTTGGAGTGTTTCTATATTCGTTGGAGTGTTTCTATATTCGTTGGAGTGTTTCAATATTCATTGGAGTGCTTGTACATTCATTGGAGTGCCTGTGTATTCGTTGGTACTGTTTGTATAATCGTTGAAGTGTTCAAGGTTGCCCTTTTGGCGTTCCATATGTACGTGGTTCTCTTCGCTTTCTAAAAAACTTAGTAGTGGTTATTTTTTTTAATGAGAAGTACAGTCACAGATTTTCAGCTACCTACTTTATCACTGTCAAATTAACATGCCCTTTCAACCCCACACCAGTTCATCATCCCTCTGCACGCTTGACAGTTTGTTTGACCTAGGCTGACCTCAACAGTTACCAAGTCCCTAATGATTGTTTTTGACCTCAGTTTAAGATTCAATGAAATTAATACAGTTACACTACTCAGTGCTGGCCTAAGTAAATTTCAGTTAAATGTTACAAGTAAAGGGTGTGAGTGCTAAAACTAAAAACTTGAAAAAGTCTAATTCAATAATGGAATTGCTTTAAGTAATGTAATGTCAGTTTAATATTAGTTTTCAACTAAAATTAGAACGAGAAAAAAAATTAAACTATTAACACTCAAACTATTAAATAATAATAATAATAATAATAATAATAATAGTAATAATAATAAAAATAATAATAATAATAATAATAGTATAATGATAATAATAATGATAATTATTATTATTAATATTATTATTATTATTATTATTATTATCATTATTATCATTATTATTATTAAATTAATAAAGACAAAGGGTTATTATTATTATTATTTAATAGTTAAAAAAACATATATACTGTACTGTACATACAAATTCATACAAATTAAAATTCAAAGGCAGAAGCCTTTGGCAATAAAAATGAATTTCTGTGAATCAGTAGTAATTGTTTTAATTTGTGTTTTATTTAGTTAATGTTATCATTTCAAATTTAGTGTCTATTTTCAAGATTTTATTACAGCCTTAAAATCCAGTGGTAACAATACTTTTGAGCTAAAATAAACTCAGTAAAATAGGAAAAAACTTTAGAACCAGTTTGAGTTTACGCTCCCATTTAGTACTTGGGATGTTTTGGGGTGAATTTAATGTATTTTAAACATATTATGTAAAATTATTGATAACATTATCAGTTTAGCCAACTGGAATACCGGGTGCTGTAGATCCATCCTATTTTTGTCAAAAATGAAATTAATATTTTTTCTTAGCACTGATCATCAAATTGTAAATCAAATTTATTGTCTAAAATGAACAGATATCATAGGTAAACATATACACAATAAAACAAAACCTAGTCTTAAAACATAGAATACATTAAAATAAACTTTATTTCTGGCAATAAACAAAATAGAATTATACATGTCTTCCGAATAAGTAGCAAGAAATAAAGAAATTGAAGTAAAAAAAAAAGGGAAAAAACATGGTGTTTCCCCCAGAACATTTAAATAATTATTATTGCATTTTGTTTAAAACACAAAGCTAAAAAACAAAAAGAAAAAAAAGTACTGTTGTTTAATATGTGATGCCATATCGGTTCGTCCCAAGTTGGAAGAATCCACATCCTGGAGATCTGTTTCAATGAACTTTGTTAACACATCTAAATATATTCTGCTGTTGATGGTGATACCCATTGACACTGACATTCGGGATACAACATGATAATACATCATTAAAAATTGGAAAAAACATGCAAATATCGTGAATTTGCGGGAGATAGTTTACTTTCCGGGCAGTGGCGTAGCTAGAGCTTTTTGGCCCCCGGGGGAAAGAGTAGAAAATCGCGCCCCTTCCTCCAATTATAATTACAATATTGTGAAATAAATTGATATTGGTTGTATAGGCTTTAAGCGTCTGTACCGTACGTCCGTATCATGCACTGTTCTAGCTCTCATAAGTAGATTCTTTCTTACCACTAGGGGTGGCGTTAGGATTTGCCCGACAGGGTAGGGGGCGATGCCCTAACGACGGGGAAGATTTCCCTGACGAGAGCAAAGTGGGTGTGGTCGAGCGTCGCTTAATATGTTCCGAAAGTGGTCTAGTTGGCGAAGCCCCTAAAAAAAATTTGACAATTTAGGTTTAAAGGCTTATTTAATCGATTATTCAGATTGTTATTATTAAATGGAAAATATTCTTGCCTGACGACATAGATAAATTCCGTCATGCTTTTCTAACAAGTGTTTAGTTTTTTTACTCTCCCACTTTAGCGCCCCCCCCCCTCAACCTGCCGCCCGGGGCACGTTCCCCCCTTGATCCCCCTAGCTACGCCACTGTTTCCGGGAGATTCTTGCTTGCTCACGGGAGTGCGGGAGGCCTTCCGGATTTCCGGAGATTCCCTCGACTTCCGGGAGACTTCCTCTGTGAAGGAATAGGCCTGACATATAAAGGGAGTGTTTAAATTAAATATTTTTTGGGTAGGAGATTGGAAATTAAGGGAATATGATAATTTTATTTCTCATATATAGAAGAAGATAAAAACGTAAGGTCCTGGAGGGGATAAATGATATTATACAGTAATAATATTCACTCAATACTTAAAGTCACATTTTGTAGTGCTCTATCTGATGTTTAACGCGCAATTAAAAAAAATTGAAACAATGTGCTATCCATTTGAAACGATGTGCTACCCATTTGAAACAATGTTCTGCCCATTTGAAACGATGTGCTACCCATTTGAAACGATGTGCTACCCATTTGAAACAATGTTCTTCCCATTTGAAACGATGTGCTACCCATTTGAAACGATGTGCTATCCATTTGAAACGATGTGCTATCCATTTGAAACGATGTGCTACCCATTTGAAACGATGTTCTTCCCATTTAAAACGATGTGCTATCCATTTGAAACGATGTGCTACCCATTTGAAACGATGTTCTTCCCATTTAAAACGATGTGCTACCCATTTGAAACGATGTGCTATCCATTTGAAACGATGTGCTACCCATTTAAAACAATGTTCTCCCCATTTGAAACCATGTTCTTCCCATTTGAAACGATGTGCTACCCATTTGAAACGATGTGCTATCCATTTGAAACGATGTGCTACCCATTTGAAACAATGTTCTTCCCATTTGAAACAATGTTCGTCCCATTTGAAACGATGTGCTACCCATTTGAACGATGTGCTACCGTACCCATTTGAAACGATGTGCTATCCATTTAAAACGATGTGTTATC